AAAAAAAAAAAAAAAGAAAAAAAAATTCTCAAGCCAAACCAGAGGGAAGTCAGGGACCCTGGGGGAGGCCTCAGGGGGCCTCTCTGCCAGCCTGGGCTGCAGGTCAAGGGAGCTTCCCAGAGTGTACAGGGATGGCTGAGCCAAGTCAGGGGCCATGCTGTGGCGTCCACATAGACTAGTGCCAGGGAGTCATAGGCAGAGGAACCGGTACACAGGCAAGGCGGTGTGAGGGGCTGGGTCTGAGGCTGGTGTTGCTGCTGAGGTGGGGGCACTGGGAGCCCAGGCCACAGAGCCCACAGGCACCACCTCCTGACAGGCCCGGACGAGGCCACAGAAGGGCTGGTTCACATTCAGATTTATTCTGATCATCAAATTAATTCATGATAATTATAAACAAATGCAAAAAGGCATTCAGGAAAAAATTGGAATCAAATTACCCATAACCTCGCCATCCAGAAATAATCACGATTCATGCCTTGGTGGATTTTCTTGCAATTTCTCTCTCCTATTTGAAGTGTCTCTAGTGTAAAAAGTAGTTCATGGTAAAAGAGAATTCAAACAGCAAAGCTGAGCCCAGAGTAACAGATTAAATGTCCTTAGCCCTTGTTTCCTATGTCCCAGAGGAAACCATGGTTAACATCTTCTTATCCCCTCAAGAGACATCTTTTTGCGGGGAGTGGGGGCAGTGATAGGGTCTCAATCTGTCGCCCAGGATGAAGTGCAGTGGCACAATCACGGCTCACTGCAGCCTCCACCTCCTGGACTTAATCGATCCTCCTTCCTCAGGCCCCTAAGTAGCTGAGACTACAGGTATGCACCACCACACCTGGCTGATTTTTAAGGTTTTGTAGAGATGGGGTTTCGCTATGTTGCCCAGGCTAGTGTTTTATTTTTTGAGACAGAGTCTTGCTCTGTTACCCAGGCTGGAGTACAGGCGCACAATCTAGGCTCACTGTAACCTCCACTTCCTGGGTTCAAGCGATTCTCCTGCTTCAGCCTCCCGAGTAGCTAGAATTACAGGTGCATGCCACCACACCAAGCTAATTTTTGTATTTTTAGTAGAGATGGGGTTTCACCATATTAGCCAGGCTGGTCTTGATTTGCTGACCTGAAGTGATCCCGACACCTCGGCCTCCCAAAGTGCTGGGATTGCAGGCATGAGCCACCTTGCCCAGCCAGGACTTCAACTCCTGGGCTTAGGCAATCCTCCCACCTTGGCCTCCCAATTTGCTGGGATTACAGGTGTAAGCCACCATGCCTGGCCTCCCCAAGGCATCTTATGCATACACAATACACACACTGTCTCAGATACAGCCATCTGCTCCTTCCGAATCTTGTGCATCATGCTGGAAGCTGGGAGGCAGCTGTGAGCAGAGCAGGCACCATCCCTGTTCTCATGGGGCTGGAGAGACAGCCTTAAACAAGTTAACAGATACGTAATTACAAATTGTGATATATGCCCAGAAGAAAGCAGGTCGCTGCAATAGATAATAATGAGAGTCCTGCCCAGATGGGGTGGACATGGAAGGCCTCTCTGAAGGGAGGGAAGAAATATCTAACTTCCATCAGGGGCCAGGCACGGGGGCTCACGCCTGTAATCCCAGCATTTTGGGAGACCAAGGCGGGAGGATTGCTTGAGCCCAAGAGTTCAGGACCTGCCTGTACAACAAATTAAGACCTGGTCTCTACAGAAAAGTTTAAAAATTAGCAGGGCATGGTGGCACACACCTGTAGTCTCAGCAACTCGGGGGGCTGAAGCAGGAGGATCACTTGAGCCTGGGTGGTCAAGGCTGCCATGAGCCATGATGGTGCCACTGCCCTCAGCCTGGGAGATAGAGATCCGAGACCCTGTCTCAAACAAACAAACAAACAAAATAACTTCCATCAGAGGGCATTCCAGATATACCCAAAAGTAGAGCAAAGGCACAGTGGGCCCCTGCGCCTCCCTCCCAACTGCAGCGGCCATCAGCGCACGGCACACCTTGTTTCTTCCCCACCCCCTGGAACACACACTGGATTATGCTGATGCGCATTTAAGTCATCATTTCATCCATAAATATTTTAGGACGAGAAACCACTAGTTTGTGGAGAAGAGCACAATGCAGGGAACGAGAATATCAGGCGGGAGTGGCTCAGGCTCTTATTGCTACGCAAGAGCCATTAAAGCAATCAAAGCAGCCACACCGCAGGCAGCCTACCCCTCCCTCCCTCCCTCCCTCCCTCCCTCCCTCCCTTCCTCCCTTCCTCCCTTCCTTCCTTCCTTCCTTCTTCCCTCCCTCCCTTCCTTCCTTCCCTCCTCCTTTCCTTTCTTTCTTTTTTTTTTTTTTGACAAAGTCTTGCTCTGTTGTCAGGCTGGAGTGCAATGGCATGATCTCAACTCACTGCAACCTCCGCCTCCCAGCTTCAAGCAATTCTTCTGCCTCAGCCTCCCACGTAGCTGGAACTACAGGCGCACGCCACCACGCCCAGCTAATATTTTGTGTTTTGGTAGAGATGGGGTTTCACCATGTTGGCCATGATGGTCTCGATCTCCTGACCTCATGATCCACCCGCCTCAGCGTCCCAAAGTGCTGGGATTATAGGCGTGAGCCACCTCGCCTGGCCTGTTCTTTCTTAACGATTGACCTCTTTATTTATGGGCTAATCTTTTTACTTGTTCATTTATTTAGAGATAAGGTCTCACTCTGTTGCCCAGGCTGGAGTGCAACAGTGGTTTATTCATCCCTCACCTGTTGATGGACGTGAGATTGACTCTGGGTTTTGGCTGTGATGAGTGGTGCTATGATGAACATTCTTGTACTTGCTTTTTGCTGGGCATAAACAGTCCTCCTGTCTCTCGGGTATAAAACCTAAGAGTCAGATTACTGGGTCGGTGGGGTGGGGGTTGTTTGATAGAAACTCCCAAACCATCTTCCAGAGTGGTTATTTCCAGAATGTTTCGACAAAGGTGATGTGGTTGGATGTATGTGGAAAGGTGGGTGGGTGAGAGCCCTGGTGTGGAGATTTGCACCTGTAATCCCAGCACTTTGGGAGTCTGAGATGGAATCACGGCCCAGAAATTAGAGACAAGCCTGGGCAAAGTGGTGAGACCCTGTCTCTACTAAAAATACAAAAATTGGCTGGCCGTGGTGGTGCGTGCCTGTAGTTTCAGCTACACGGGAGGCTGAGGTGGGAGGATCACTTGAGCCTGGGAGTCGAGGTTGTAGTGAGCCCTGATCGTGCCACTGCCCTGCAGCCTGGGCAACAGAGTGAGACCCTGTCCCAAAAAGAAAAAAATGGTGGGTAGGCTAGGAGGTAGAAAAGGACGCTGGACGGGGGCGGAGGAGGAGCAGAGGGAGTGGAGCTCCCTGGCATGGGTGCCTGCTCTGAGCCCGCCCGTGCCACAGGCCGCCTGATCTTCGACAACCTGAAGAAGTCCATCGCCTACACCCTGACCAGCAACATCCCAGAGATCACGCCCTTCCTGCTGTTCATCATGGCCAACATCCCGCTGCCCCTGGGCACCATCACCATCCTCTGCATCGACCTGGGCACCGACATGGTGAGCCCTGGCGGCCACCCTTGGGGCCCAGAAGGGTGGAGTCCTCCCCTTCCCGGCTCACCTGGCCTCTTCCACCCAGGTCCCTGCCATCTCACTGGCATACGAGGCTGCTGAAAGTGACATCATGAAGAGACAGCCCAGGAACCCACGGACGGACAAGTTGGTCAATGAGAGACTCATCAGCATGGCCTATGGGCAGATCGGTGAGGCACCGGGGACTCCATCTCCTTACGGCCCAATGCCAGGCCTAGAGCAGTGCCTGGCCCACCGTGGGTGCTTGGGACCCTGACATTGACTCAGGGGAGCAGACGTGGACAGGACCAGCCAGTGAGCTATCTGAGGGCGGGGTCTGCACCCCATCCTTCTCCACCTCCTCCTCTCTGCTGCCGATGTGTGCAGAGCCCCAGAGGTGTGAAGCAGCCACACTTGGGGGCTGTCCCAGCAAGCAGAGGCTTCATGGCGGTGGTCCTAGGCCCAGGGAGGTCATTCCTGTGTTGGGAGCTCAAGCTGGGGATCCCCCAAGAATTCATGATGTTTAGGTGGCCTGGGTCGGGTGGGAGAGGGGCTCCGGGTTATCCCTCTGGGAGATCCCCCTCTCCAAAGCCCCTGTCCCAGGTGGCCCACCCATCTCAGGGCCTCACCACCAAGTGAGACCTCAGGTCGCCCTCTGGGAACCGGTGTCCAGATAACAGGGCCAGAGGGGCACACTTCCCTCTCCAAGGCGGCTTCTGGGCCCTCCGAGGTGCCCTGGGCTGGCTGCTGGCCCCGACCTGAGCCTCTCCTCTGCTTCCTCTCTCCTCCTTCCAGGAATGATCCAGGCTCTCGGTGGTTTCTTCTCTTACTTTGTGATCCTGGCAGAAAATGGCTTCTTGCCTGGCAACCTGGTGGGCATCCGGCTAAACTGGGATGACCGCACTGTCAACGACCTGGAGGACAGTTACGGGCAGCAGTGGGTGAGTGGGGCAGGGTGCTGTGTTCCTGCCCGGGGCGAGCTGTCCCAGCCATGCACGGCCACTTCCTACGATGGCTCCTCAGTCCCCCATGGCAGTGTCAAGGCCTTTGCTGGGCACTTGGGGCTTCCTGGATGCCCCTGCCCAGCCCATCTGGAGCCTTGTCTCCCACTGCCTGAGCTCTCTGCCCTGCCGGGCCTTCTTCCCTGCCTCTGTCTGTCCCTTCAAAGTCCAGCTGCTGTCTATCCTTGGGAGGACCACAGGGTCCTCATCCTCCTGGCCCCTGGTGGACGGTGAGGTCACCATTAACCTTTCTCCTTTCTTGTACATCTCCTGCCTCCTCCCTTGGGACCATGAGCCCGCAGAAGGAAGACACACCTGAGGCCCTGGGGACCCCATGCAGGATGGGGTGGGTCAAAGAGCACCAGAACGTCGGGGTGGCGGCTAGGGCTGCAGTGCCACTGACTGATGTCCCATGCCCCGGTCACCGCTCCTGCAGACATACGAGCAGAGGAAGGTGGTGGAGTTCACCTGCCACACAGCCTTCTTTGTGAGCATCGTAGTCGTCCAGTGGGCAGATCTGATCATCTGCAAGACCCGGAGGAACTCGGTCTTCCAGCAGGGCATGAAGTGAGAGCTGGGGGCACACGGCGGCTGTACAGCCATCCTTCCTGTCCGAGTGTCTGTCTGTCTATCTGTGTACTTCCTCTTGTGTCCTTGCTTTGGATTTTTGTTGTTTTGTTGAGGCAGGGTCTCATTCTGTCACCCAGACTGGAGTTCAGTGGTGCAATCATACATAGGTCACTGCAGCCTCGACCTCCTGGGCTCAAGTGAGCCTCCCACCTCAGGCTCCTGTGTAGCTGAGACTACAGGCATGCACCATCATATATGGCTAATTTTTATTTATGTATGTATGTATTTATTTATTTATTTATTTATTTGTTTGTTTGCTTATTTATTTAGAGACAGAGTCTTGCTCTGTTGCCCAGGCTGGAGTGCAGTGGCACGATCTTGGCTCACTGCAACCTCCACCTCCCGGGTTCAAGCGATTCTCATGCCTCAGCCTCCCAAGTAGCTGGGATTACAGGTGTGCACCACCAGGCTCGGCTAATTTTTTGTATGTTTAGTAGAGTTTTGCCATGTTGCCCAGGCTGGTCTCAAACTCCTGAGCTCAGGCAATCCACCCGCCCCAGCCTCCCAGAGTGTTAGGATTACAAATGTGAGCCACCATGCCCAGCCCATTTTGGGTTTTGCCACTGCACTGATTTTCTCTCAAGGGATCCTGTGTGTCCTTGATTCTCTCTCAGCCTGTGTGTGTGGTGGAGGTGCTCCTGTCCTTTTCTTTTCATACCAGTGCTTCTCTGTGTCTGTCCCTGTCTCTGTGTCTGTATCTGTCCCTGTCTTTGTGTCTGTCCCTGTCTGTGTCTGTCTCTGTGTCTGTCCCTATCTCTGTGTCTGTCCTGATCTCTGTGTCTGTCCACCTCTGTGTCTGTCTCTGTGTCTGTCCCTGTCTCTGTGTCTGTCTCTGTGTCCCTGTCTTTCTGTCTCTTTCTGTGTCACCATTGCTCTGCCTCTTTGTCTCTCACTGTTGGGGCATGTCTCCCCATCTCCGTCTCTCTTCCTGTGTCTCTGCCTCTGTCTCTGTGTCTGTGCTGCTGTCTCTGGGTGTCTGCACTGTGCCTCTCCCTGTCTCTGCGGGGTGGCATGTGCAGGGTGGGTGCTCTCTGGGCCCAGCCCTGCCCTTCTGTGCCTCCAGGAACAAGATCCTGATCTTCGGGCTGTTTGAGGAGACGGCCCTGGCTGCCTTCCTGTCCTACTGTCCCGGCATGGATGTGGCCCTGCGCATGTACCCTCTCAAGTGAGTGCCCTGCTGCCCCCAGCCCTGCCCACACCAGCACCTGCCACGGAGCCTTCCCTTAGACTCAGTCTGAACCTCAGGCCCCACCTCCCCTGGTGTCCCCCTGCAGTCCCCATTCTGATGCCCCCAAGTCTCCCCCATGGGCTGCTCCTACCACGGGTTACTCCGCAGACCCCAGGCCCCAGCCCTACCCAGGGCACCCTCCACCTGTGAGCACGAAGGGTCCTGGGAGACTGCCCCACCGCGTCCCCGCCACGTCCCCTCCTGTCCCCTGAAGCTCTGCCTCTCGTTAGGGCCCCGCACTCAAGCCCTCCTGCTCTCCCCTCCACAGGCCCAGCTGGTGGTTCTGTGCCTTCCCCTACAGTTTCCTCATCTTCGTCTACGACGAAATCCGCAAACTCATCCTGCGCAGGAACCCAGGGGGTGAGGGGGCTCGGCAAAGCGGCCAAGGGGGGCGGGGGACAGCAGGGTCTCAGGCGGCTGGTCCCAGGCTCCCCTCGCCCTGCTGGATGGCTCTGCCGCCCAGTTCCCACTCTTCTCTCTCTTCCCATCTCTCCAGGCCTCCGCTCTGTCTTCTCACAGGTCTCTGTCTGTGTGGTTTCCTTGTCTCTCTCCCTCTCTGTCCCTCTCTCTGCTGGGTGGCTCACCTTGCCTATCTCTCTCCATCTCTTACTCTGTCTCTTTCTTTCCTCCTTTGTCTCTCCAGGTTGGGTGGAGAAGGAAACCTACTACTGACCTCAGCCCCACCACATCGCCCGTCTCTTCCCTGTCCCCCAAGCCCAGGACCGCCCCTGCCAGTCCCCCCCATTTTGTATTCTGCGGGGAGGAGCCCTCTCTCCCCATGGCCCCACCTTGGCCCCCACCCCCTCCACTATCTCCTGACACCCCTACTCTGGCTGGCTTCTCTCCCCTGCCCCCTGCCTCTCTCCTCTCTCTTTTCTGTGTCAGTTTCTCTCCCTTTCCTCACCCCTCTATCCGTTCCTCCGGCCCCAGCCACCTCCCTGGGCTCTTTTTTACTCCCTTTCAGCCCCTCGGCTGATGCTGTCTCTGGTTCTGGACAATTATCAAATATATCAGTGGGGAGAGAGAAGCAGTGTGTGTGTCGTGCCTGCTTTCTGGACAGGGACTGTGGCCGGGATGGCCGGGATGGCATCCCCTCTGCTGGGGCGCGTTGCCAGGCGATTCTCAAAACCTCAGGAACTTAGCCTGGCACTGGCTTGAAAGTCACCGAATCTCAGAGCCATCTAATCACGGAGTTTTCAACTCCACGAAACTCAGAGCAGCTTGAATTCGCCCGGCGATGGGATTGTGGAATCAGAACAGGGGAAAGGGAGGGGAAGCAGATGTGGGATGGTGACTGGGAGCCTCTCCTATAGGAGTAGGACCCAGGGGACACAATGCTGATGATGATGGTGATGACAGCGATTCACTGAGTGCCCGCTATGTGCTCTGCCCACTTCTAAGCACTCTGCACAAGGTGCACATTAAATATGCACAGAGAGGCCGGGCGTGGTGGCTCAAGCCTGTAATCCCAGCACTTTGGGAGGCCGAGACGGGCGGATCACGAGGTCAGGAGATCGAGACCATCCTGGCTAACACGGTGAAACCCCGTCTCTACTAAAAAATACAAAAAACTAGCCGGGCGAGGTGGCGGGGGCCTGTAGTCCCAGCTACTCTGGAGGCTGAGGCAGGAGAATGGCGTGAACCCGGGAGGCGGAGCTTGCAGTGAGCTGAGATCCGGCCACTGCACTCCAGCCTGGGCGACAGAGCCAGACTCCGTCTCAAAAAAAAAAAATAAATAAATAAATAAATAAATATGCACAGAGAGGAGAAGTGATTTGCACACAGCTAAGAAGAGACACATCTGGGATTTGAACCAAGGCTGTCCAAAGTTCTAGGTCACTACGCTATTCTCTCATTTTATTGAGATGAACTTTCATACAGTGCAGTGCACACATCTTAAGGCTACAGCTCAATGATTTTAAAGTTGCATCTGCAGGCCAGGTGCCGTGGCTCCTGCCTGTAATCCCAGCCCTTTGGGAGGCCCAGGAGGGCAGGTCACTTGAGGTCAGGAGTACGAGACCAGCCTGGCCAACATGGTGAAACCCTGTCTCTACTACAAATACAAAATATAGCCAGGCATGGTGGCACTCACCTATAATCCCAGCTACTTGGGAGGCTGAGGCAGGAGAATGGTGTGAACCTGAGAGGCGGAGTTTGCAGTGAGCCAAGATCGCGCTACTGCACTCCAGCCTGGGCGACAAAGCGAGACTCTGTCTCAAAAAAAATAAAAAATGAAAAATAAAAATTGCTGGGCATGGTGGCGCATGCCTGTAATCCCAGCTACTCGGGAGGCAGAGGCAGGTGAATTGCTTGAACCCGGGAGGCAGAGGTTGAGTGAGACTCCGTCTCAGGAAAAAAAAAGAAAAAAAAAAGTTGCATCTGCAAAGCTACCACCCAGATCAAGGCATAGAACCTTTCCCTCCATCCAGAAAGTTCACTGGAGCCCCTCCAGTCGCCTCCCCTCCAGAGGCAAGAGCTGATCTGGTTTCTGTCACCACACATCAGTTGTGCCTGTTCTTGAGCTTCGTACAAACGAAACCTTACAGCATGTCATCTCTGTGTCTGGCTCCTTGTTCTCAGCATTATGTCTATAGGAGTCATCCATATTGTCACCTGTATCTATGGCCCCTTCCTTATCATTCCATAACACAACTTGTCTATTCTCCTGTTGAGGGACTTTGGGGTTTCCAGTTTGGGGCTATTACAATTGGTGCTGCTAGGGACAGGAACATTCTAGTCATGTCGTTTTTTGTTTTTTGTTTTTTTTGAAACGGAGTCTTGCTTTGTCGCCCAGGCTGGAGTGCAGTGGCACCATCTCAGCTCACTGCAGCCTTCACCTCCTGGGTTCAAGTGATTCTCCTGCCTCAGCCTCCCAAGTAGCTGGGACTACAGGTGCCTGCCACCACGCCTGGCTAGTTTTTGCATTTTTAGTAGAGACTGGGTTTTGCCATGTTGGCCAGGCTGGTCTCGAACTCCTGACCTCAAGTGATCCACCCACCAACACGGTGAAACCATCTCTACTAAAAATACAAAAACTAGCCGGGTGTGGTGGCAGGCACCTGTAATCCCAGCTACTCAGGAGGCTGAGGCAGGAGAATCACTGGAACCTGGGAGGTGGAGGTTGCAGTGAGCCGAGGTCATGCCCCTGCACTTCAGCCTGGGTGACAGAGTGAAACCCCATCTAAAAAGAAAAAAACAAAACAGACTGGGTGCGGTGGTTCATGCCTGTAATCACAGCACTTTGGGAGGCTGAGGCAGGCAGATCACCTGAGGTTGGGAGTTCGAGACCAGCCTGACCAATATAGAGAAACCCTGTCTCTACTAAAAATACAAAATTAGCTGAGCGTGGTGGCACATGCCTGTAATCCCAGCTACTTGGGAGGCTGGGGCAGAAGAATTGCTTGAACCTGGGAAGCGGAGGTTCCAGCAAGCTGAGATCGCGCCATTGCACTCCAGCCTGGGCAAGAATGAAACTCTGTCTCAAAAAAAACCAAAAGTGATCCACCCACCTCAGCCTCCTAAAGTGCTGAGATCACAGGCACGAGCCACCGCATCCAGCCCTCTAGTTGTGTCTTTTTTTTTTTTTTTTTTTTTTTGAGACAGAATCTTGCTCTGTCGCCAGGCTGGGGTGCAGTGGCACGATCTCGGCTCACTGAAATCTCTGCCTCCTGGGTTCAAGTGATTTCCCTGCCTCAGGCTCCCGAGTAGCTGGGACTATAGGCACGCACCACCACGCCCAGCTAATTTTTGTGTTTTTAATAGAGATGGGGTTTCACCACGTTGGTCAGGCTGGTTTCGAACTCCTGACCTTGTGATCTGCCCACCTTGGCCTCCCAAAGTGCTGGGATTACAGGCGTGAGCCACCGCGCCCGGTCCTCTAGTTGTGTCTTTTAATGACAGATGTGCATTCTGTTGGGTACGCACGTGCCTGGAAGTGGAATCGCTGGTTCATGGGATAGACTATGTTTAGCTTTCATGGACGCTGCCAGACCTTTTCCAAAGTTCGAGTGCCATTCTGCGTCCAACAGCATAAGGAAGCAGCAGCTGCTCCACATCCCCTCTCCACTGGGAATTGTCAGTCCTTTTCATTTTCATTTTCGCCACCTTGGTGGGGCAGCGAATCCATTTCTCTCAAGGCAGTCTTCCTAACACAGCCCAGGGAGGCAAGTCGGAGGAGGGGCTGGGGCCAGGCCTGGGCCTACCTGCCTTCCAGTGCCAGTGTCTGGGTGGCCGGGATGCTGAGCGCAAGTGTGAGTGGGTGAGTGTGCAAGTGCATGTACACACCCACCGCACAAGACAATGGCTGAGGGAGAAGCTTCCAAATCTGAGGGGGAAAGGCAGTTGGAGGGCAGTGGCCACGTGCGCTGGACACCCCTCATGACCCCAGGGTACAGTCTGATCCCGGTAGGGGCTGCATGAGCCCAGACCTCTCCTAGGAAACCCACAAATACTGCTTTATCTATCTGGTGCAGGGGAAGAGACGCTCCCATAGACATGTGGGGAGACTGAGGCCCAGAGAGGGGAGGGCCTTCCTTGAGGTCACACAGCAGGGACAGTGACCCCAGGTTTCTAGCTGAATGCACTAAGGTCTTCCTGCTCTCCCAGCACCACTTCCTTGGGGATCCCAGGAGGCAGGGAGGAGGCCTCAGGCTGGAGGGATCCATTTTTTTTTTTTTTTTTTTGAGACAGGGTCTCATTCTGTCGCCCAGGCTGGAGTACAGTGGCACAGTCACAGCTCACTGCAACCTCTGCCTCCTGGGTTCAAGTGACTCTCCTGACTCAGCCTTCCCAGTAGCTGGGATTACATGCGCGCACCATCACACCCAGCTAATTTTTTTTTTTTTTTTTGTATGTTTAGTAAAGATGGGGTTTCACCATGTCGGGCAGGCTGCTCTCGAACTCCTGGCCTTAAGTGATCCGCCCACCTTGGCCTCCCAAAGTGCTGGGATTACAGGCATGAGCCACCATACCCTGCCTGGAACTCACAGTCTTCTTGGGTGTTCCCTCATCTCCCAGCACACCACCCACCTACTCCCCTAATTCAGGGCCCATCTGCCAAAGGCCCCTTCTCTCAGGGACCCCATCTCTCACCATCTCTCATGATGTATCTGCCTCAGGCCCTCCTCTCCCACATTGCCCCTGTGTCCAGGCCCCATCTCCTGAAATTCCCTTATTCAAAGTCCCCCCCCCGACCCTCCCACTCCTAGGGCCCCTCCTGCAATGTCCTTGCCCCTCAGACTCCACTGTCCCCCACCCCATCTCCCACCATGGCCCATGCTGTTCGACGCCTCCAGGCCTCTGCCGCTATGTTCTCCGCTCAGAACAAAGACCAGTGGGTTTTGGAATGAAATTGCTTTCATTCAGTTCCTATAAGGAAACCCAATAGCTCTCATAACAAAAGTTAATCCTGGATCTCCCACAGCCGGCCATGGAAGAGGCAGCTGGAGCTCTGTCCCAATTCTATTCTCCAAGCTCTGTCTTTCCATGGAGGTTCTTCCAAGGGCTACCTCTGCTGCTCTGGCCCTTTGAATTCAGGTGCTGCTCCCCTATTCCTGCTCAGGGGCAATCGTGCAATTGCACTCCTCATTTGGCGTTTTGTTTTGAGATAGGGTCTCACTCTGTCGCCCAGGTTGAAGTGCAGTGGCACGCTCTTGGCTCACTGCAACCTCCGCCTCCTGGGTTCAAATGATTCTCCTGCCTCAGCCTCCCAAGTAGCTGGGATTACAGGCATGTGTATTTTTTTTTAGTGGAGATGGGCTTTCGCCATGTTGGCCAGGCTGGTCTTGAACTCCTGACCTCAAGTGATCCGCCCACCTGGGCCTCCCATAAGTGCTGGGATTACAGGTGTGAGACACCACACCCGGCCCCGCAGTCAAAGGAGTAGGATTTTCAAGTTTGAATCCTAGTTAGAAAACCTGATTCCAGGCCAGGTGCGATGGCTCACGCCTGTAATCCCAGCACTTTGGGAGGCTGAGGCTTAGGTGGGCGAATCACGAGGTCGGAGTTCAAGACCAGCCTGACCAACGT